GTCCTGGCCTAAATTCTCAGATCATTCCTGGTTCACCTGCAGGAGGTTGAAACTACAAGTGCTGGATATGCGGGTCATGCACCAGAACTTCTGGAGAACCTGGGCTGAAAACAAGTTGCAAGTCAGCTCCTCAGAAGCCATGGACAGGAGAAAAACAGAGACAAGTGTGGCAAGGGTAGCAAAATCACAGCCCCTCAAGGTGATTGTAGATCTGTGCGTCAGCCATGCATGGCTGCCTCCAGTGCAATCCTACCTCCTCAAGTGGGTCCAGGAGAGGGCAGACCGGGTGCAGCTGGAATGTAAGAAGCTGTGTATTGCAGGCCTCTGCACGGAGTGGGTCACAGAATTCCTGGCAATGCTGCACCTTGATTCTGTGCGGGAAGTGAATGTCAGTCACTGCAGGACATTCTTTGAATTTGCTCAGTTTGCCCCTTTTCTGGGACAGATGAATAATCTTCACAAACTAATTCTCTCTGATATCTCTGGGCCTTCCATCACCTCCCCAGAGAAGAGAGAGCAGTTGTTCACCATAATCACCTCTCAGTTTCTTAAGCTTCACTGTCTGCGAGAGATTTATATGTACTCTGTCCACTTCCTGGAAGGCCACTTGGACCAGTTGCTCAGGTAAGATATACAGCTCTCTCTGCAGTCAGAAGAGCCTTGCTCTGTTCTAGAAAGATTAGAGATCACGGACAGTGTGTCACCCACAGGAGGTGAGACAGAGATCAAACACGAGAGTGTCAACATATTCATTCCTTGCTTTTTCACTCCTCAGTCCTACAACAAGGTGTCACATGGCCACTGTAATTAAGTAATCAGACTGGAAAGGGCCACCATGCTAGGACGCCATGAGGTGGGGGTGAGGTACAGTGAGGGCAGGTGTGTGAATCCTTCCTGGAGAAGCCCACCTAGGCTAAGGTGCTAAGAAACCCCCAGGCCTCTCTGATCCTGCCAGCAGTCACCACGAGGAGGCTGTGCCCCAGCGTGGGCTGGTGACCAGATGGGAAGTGCAGGAGTCTGAAGCTGATGTCAAGGGACAGATGCGTAGGACAGGGAACAAAGATACAAATTCAGCTGTCCACCTTTTTGAGAACCGCAGTAGCAGTGCCCAGATCTTTCCCGATTTTTCATTCCTGCCTGCCTCCTGCTGCCCTCAGCGGGAAAGAGCTGTGGTTTTCTGCTTGGGAGTGAGGAGAGGGGACTGTAGAGATTCAAGACTCAGATACGAAAGCAAGAGATGGTAATGTCTCACAGAGACATAAGCAAGGGATTTTAATGGTATGCCTAAATTGGCCTAACTCATGTCACACTTGGTCCACCTTGCTGTTTTCCACCACTCACTCATTTTCACCACCAATTGCAGATGTAACTCCTTGATTTTCTACAGGTGCCTGAAGGTCCCCTTGGAGACCCTCTCATTAACTCACTGCCAGCTTTCACACTCTGACTGGAACCAGCTGCCCCAGGCTGAGTGGACGAGACAGCTAAAACACTTGGATCTGAG